GAGAACGAAACACAGTCGGCCATCGTGCCAGTCTTCTGCAGTTCATCTCGACAACGCGGTACATACGTGTCGATAACAGTGAGAACTTCGAACGCGTCGCATAAAAAAATCGGCTCTTTTCAGAGCTATACATATTAACCCAGGAAAGTTGGTCCATAAATATTATTGATAAGTGATCAGTGTTTAGTAATAATGCAGTGAAAGTAAACGTTGAAATTGCCTGCCCGGAGATATCCTTCTGTTCGTCGCCGTCGGATACAGATCAGCTGTGCAGTTCATCATACATTGTACGAGGTCAATGCACTATCCTCCTGCACACATTTCCGTGCATGAAGTGGATTTTACAACTAAATGGGTGAGTTTCTTATTGATAATATTCTTCATATTTCTCTAACAAACATATCCCTTACGTCCTTTAACACGATTATTATTTATTAAATTAGCTTTGCGAATCATTCGTTGAACTATGTTCGGACACGGAATTATTTAAATAAAATACCATTAACGTAAAATATCATTTACGTACTTTGTTAATCTTCACTGTACACCTTGCTCAAAAATTTCATATGTTACACACGAGGTGTCATGCACACTAGAAAATTAAAACGGCCGTCACGGTTAAATTATTTATTATTTCGGGTCCGAAAAATGAGTAAATATTCTTCAGACGTTCTAAAGTAAAGGTGAACAGCGTTTTTCTTAAAAATATCACTGTTACGTAGTAAAAAAAAATCCTGAAAGTTCTCGCTTCGTAATTTGTTCAATACTTCGAACGTGGCTCGAGTCCGTCCCGACCATCTGTCAAAGCCTCGTGCTGCGTACTCTCTCGCGGACTCTCTCTCTCGCACCGTCACCTCTCATTGGCCAGTGTTTTTCGTTAATAACTCGTAAACAAAGCCGCGGATTGCATTTTCGCAAAGGAAAAAGTTACTTCAAATGACCTCAGCTACCCCTCATTTTCGGCTGTTAAAATAATTGTGGGACACCCTGTATATATATATATATATATATATATATATATATAATTATTATATATAATTATTTCGCTTCGTTCAGATGCTCTACTATCATTGCTGTGATTCATGACGAAGAACGGAATTTTTCCGAATTCAATGAACGGCGAATACTCGGCAGTTAATTACAGGAAATCCTCGTAACGAGTCAGACTTGTCAAAGTAGGTTAAGCTCATGCGTTGAAATGACGTGTTACAAACGTCACTTTTAGTCAGGAACGAGAAAGTAAATAAATAATGGAACTAGTTAAACGTACAAAATGATGTCTCCTTGCATTTTAGATATACATCTTGCATCGCGTCGTAGTTTATAAATATTAGATTATAAGATTATCGAATAAGATAATTTATGAGTTATTTGTTCGATATATATGTTAGTTACGGCAAATGTTACAAAAAACACTCGTTAAAAATCAGAATAAGTGTCTTATTGTTACTTTCTATAAACTAATATAAAACGGCTGTATTTTGTGCTCGGTAAATCTAGTGATAACAAGGACTGTTCGTTTTATAAACAATTGCGTTAGAGTTCTCAAGTATCTATCGACAAGTTTCCAGCGCGGGAGGTTAAGGAAATTACGAAACAGCGGAGATTTGGAAGCATATCGTCGATTTATTAGATAATTGAATGTAATTTATTCGTATCTACGGGCAAACGTCAATGTTTACAATAACAGAAACAAAAGCGTGACTCACGTCGAATGGCGGAGAATGAGCGAATCGGGTGAACAGTTTATAAAGACTTCTCTTAAATCTAGAAACATCGTATACGTTCGCGATTATAAAGGGTGCAGATACTGCCGCGATTTATTACATTATTTAATCGAAACATATTTATTTATCTACACGCAGGTAAACACCGATTTCTCCAATAACAAAAACGAAAGTATAATTCACGTTGAACGGCGGAGAATCACTGAACCCGGTAAAACGGTTTACAAAGATTCGTTGAAAATTTATTAACATCGGCTGAGACAGCGGATTGTTCGTTCGCGATATTTTCAGAATATTTTGAACTAATTCGACCGTCGCGTTGATCGTCTTTTCGATCGTGGAACGTTAGAGGAAGGGGTTCGACGCGGTGGGAGAAGAAGGGTGACGATAACAAGACAGACCATAGTGGAAACGGAAGCGTTGAACTCGTTAGAAGGGGCTGGGAGCGAGAGAGAGGGGGCGACGGCGGGTCGGGGGAGGCAGAGGTCGAGAGAACGAGAGGACGAGGGGGAGTTCCGATGGGGTTCTTCCTAGTTTTATAAGGGATACAACTACTCCCGGATCTCGGCGTGGCTGCTTCGTGTTATTTATCTTTATGGACCTCGGGCAGAGGGTAAGTACACTTACCGTGAGGGGTTGGCGGGGGGTTAAGGGGCAGAGCTAAGCCGGAACGAGGGCGGTAAGAGATTGTTTGTCGTATTGGCTGCGGTTTCGCCGGGCTTAACGTTACCCGTTTAGGGGATTCCTCTGTATTTTTTCTCCGGGGCCACCGGGGGCACCGGATCCGAGCAGCCTTTCGGGGCGACTTTCGGTTTAGGCGGTTCCATTCAACAAGTCGACGAGTTCTCGGAGTTCGAAGGAGAATCGTTTCGCGAAAGAGACGGTCCGGTCGATCCGAGGTCCGGCGATCGCGCGAGGCCGGGACTCGCCTCGAGTGGTCAGAAATTAATCTATTGCCGTGTTAATCGGCTTCCGGTGATACGGGGACAATCGTGGACAAAGAGGGGAGAGCGAGAGCCACCGCGACACAAAAACTCGAGCCCCGGCGAATGAACGATCGCCGCGGCGAATTAAATCATTCTTTTCCCGATCGAACGCGCGAAGAAGCGCCGTGGCATACACCGAGGAGGGCGGGCGAGCGGCGTGGAAGGGATGTTGGTTCGACGGTTTTTCAAAGTCGTTCTCTCACGGATACGGTTTTCCTTTTATTCGTTAACAACGAGTCCGGATACATACAGTGCTTATTTACAGAGAGTGATATTTACATCGAGCGACAAATAATTCTTCGGAAAAACGAAACAGAGAAGACCGGTGTGTGTCTTAAATTCTAGAGCACGAATGTACAGTCTCGCTTTATCGCGAAACAACACGTCGTGTCCGCGGGGCACCGCGGTTACACCTAGCTGTCCGTTTATTCGAAAGAAGCGATCTAATCGCAACGATCTTAGGGTACTAGAAAACGCGTCACGCCTGGACCAAGTCCGGAGCTCGCGTCGGTTCGACGGGGGAAATATATATATATACACGCTACTGGTAATTATTGCTGTACAGAATACTGTAGTTCTTAACGCTTGTATCGATCGCATCCGGTCGTCCGTGGCTCCTGTCGCTCTCGAGGTTGACTCGCCGTCGTTCCGAGATCTTCTGCGGTGAAAGCGAAACGATTCGCAACGTTTTTTTGGGGGGTGTCTACAGTCTTTTGGGATCGAGGACGGAAATGATGCGCGCGCGCGAGACGCGTCGCGAGCAAAGCGAAAACGAAAAGTGCAGGCGGAACGACGCGACGGGACGCGAAAGGTTTTAGCTTTCGCAGAAGCGAGGAGACGCGCGAAAGAGCAACGAAAGTCCGGAGCGAAGGGAGGAGCGTGCTGCGGTCGGAAATGATGGGCGAGCGCAGGTGCGGGACGCGCGGGGGTGTACACAGACGATCGAGGACGCCGGCGAAATATGCGGACATTAAGCCCCGGTGGCGGAGGTGGCGATAAGTCAAGCAATTCGGGGCAATATTAAGCCACTCGGGCCGGTCGGCGGGTTAACCCTATGCTAAGCCGTACGTCGACAGGGATCGCAGGGCCGCGCGGCGGGGGCGGAGCGGCCGGTGGGGGTGGCCGGAGGTCGCGTGTATTTAAAACGCGAATGCGCGCCAGCCGATTCACTGTTTGAAGTTAAATGGAGTGTAAATGGCAGATAACAAACCGGCACTGTTTCCGATTACGGCATTCATTGTTTCCTACCATTATGCGCGCTCCGACGGTTCGTGTGCTCGCCCGGGGTACGGTTTACGATCTATTTATTGCCGTGCCACCGCCGACACACGAACAAACGCGGCTTACACCGCGGCTCGTCCTCGCCCGTTCCCCGCGCCGACCCTCAGGAAACCGTACCTGCCCCCGATCCCCACCTGGCCGAGGGTGGAGGCCACCCCTCCCGGATATCACCTGCCACCATGCTGAAACGAGAACCGCGCGAGCCACCTCCCCCTCCCCGAAACCGCGGGATCGTTTAACTTCCTCCCCGTCGTATCGCCTCCGCCCGAGAGAAAGAATTTACAAATCTTCTAATCTGTCCCGTATAACTGTACCTTAAAGTCTACGATAATATCCGAGTTATTTACAAATTGTCTCCTACCTAATATTGACTAGCGAGGGATATCCTGATCGCGGACCGTAAGAGAGCGTCTCCTATGATAATGCTTACATTAAGCGCCTCGTCCGTGCACACACGTATACCACGTAAATGACGTATTAATTATTCTCGATATCGATTAGTTCGTTCGTTAAAAGGGCGTGCAAAAACTGGCGTGGACATCCAGTAACAAGGACTCTAGTGATAGTGGACTACGTATCGTTATCGACTACAGCTTCCTCCTGAAAATCTCTTTCGGCTCGCAGGCCGCTCTCTCTCTTTCTTCAAAGTTTCTCCGGTTCGACGTCCATCGTCGGATAAACCGTCCCGAGAACTCGAGACGAAACTCGTCCCGGACCCCGAGAGGTGAGAATTTCAACGGAGCTCGGAAGTTCCCGGGAGAGAACTCTGGCGTCGGCGCCAACTCGAGACTCGAAAAAAAGAACTCAACGAACAAACGAGAAGCCGACCGAGAGAGATACTCACGGCAGTCTTGTTCGAAGACCGCGCGACGCGACGGCTCCCGTCTCCGAACGGAAAAAGCTTTGCGAACCGAAGAAACACCTGGCCTGCTCCCCCGGCGAGGACTCTCAGTTCTCGAACGGGTAGCCACTGGCGAGGATCGTCGGGTCTTCCGTCGATGATTTCTTTCGTCACTTGCTGTGCACGGTGGTGGCCCGCCTCTTGACCTCTACCTGATCGACGATCGCGTCGCTCTCCTTGTCCTGGTGCGCGGTCATGTGCCTGGTCAGGTGGTGTCTCTCCCTGAAGCTCTCGTCGCATACCGGGCACCTGAGCTTCTCCTCGCGGCGCCGTCTGGCCGCCTCCGCGGAGTTCTCGTTCTTGTGATGCGAGCGCATGTGGTAGACCAGGTCGGAGGTCATCCGGAACGAGAGGTTGCACTTGGCGCATACGTTCTGGGCCGGCAAGGTGAGCGCGGCGAACGACGGTGGCAGCAGGCCCGCGACCCCCGCGGCCGTCGCCAGGAATCTCGGCCTGGTCAGCGCGTCGGCCATCGGCGGGAAAACGGAGATCGGGTTGTACGAGAGGTTCGGGTAGACCGGCGGGATGTCCGGCCGGAAGCTGGGCATCTTCGGGCTGGGCACCTTGGGCGGCTGGGCGATCTGCGGGATCTTGAGGTTCTCGAGCAGGCCCGGCTGGGCGCCCTCCGGGCTGACCAGGAACGGATAGGCCATCTTGGCGGGGAACTGCGCGTACTTGTACCCGCTGACGGCGGTCAGGGGGACGACCGGCGGACTGACGCTGCTCTGGTAGCTGGCTCTGTCGTCCGGAGAGATCGAGGATCTCGGCGAAGTCTGTCCGTCGTCGTTGAAGCCGTTCCTCTGGGCGGCGAGGTTCACCTTGGTGAACGCGCTGCGAGACTCGCCGTGGCGCTCGCTGGGGCACGGTATCACCGTGTCGTAGACCTTGTTGCAGGTCAGCCCCGGCTCCATCGACTCCGGACAGTTGGCCAGGATGGCCTGGTGAGCCGCGAACGACGGCGGGCTGGGCGTCTTCTGGAGCCGGGAGCCGGAGACGTATCTGCGAGCGTCGTTGTCCGGAGAGAGGCCCGGGAGAGTCGGCGTCAAGGTCCTGGGCGAGATGTACGGAGGGCTCAGCGAGTTCTCCGTGCAGTGAATCGCTCTTCTCCTATCCGAACCGCCGGTGTCGCTCTCGTAGCTTTTGATGGTCAAGTTCTGGGGCAGTCGGTCCGCGTCCGCGACGCTCTCCGGCGGGATCTCCTCTCGCAGCCGGTCCCGCCTGGCCGAGACCATCCTCAGCTTCTCGCTCTGCCGTCGCGCCAAGTTCTCGTCGGGCGCGACCAGGAACGCGACGTCGAACGACCGTTTGCTGGCCCGTTGCAGAGGATACGAGGCGTCCGAGGTGACGTCGCCGATCGACGACGGGCTGGACGACGTGAGCGCCGTGGTTGCCGCCGTGGAGGTCGCGGGGGCGGCACGGTCGATGCCACCCGTGCGATCTTCCATTGTCATCGTGCTCGTTCCGGATGATCGACCTGCGACAATCACGGCCGACGGTCAATTTAGCCGGGCACCGGGATGATGGATAGCGGCCCGTACACCCGGACCAGGTGTCGCAGCTACGCTGTACAGCGGGATAATTGGGTCAATCGGATTCGATCGGCGAATCTCGGGGGCTGTCAACGGACAATCGAAACCTGACTTCGCGTCGCTATTCTCTCTCCATCTCTCTCTCTCTTTCTCTTTATATGTGTGTGCGCGCGCGCGTGTGTTCGACGGGCCGCGTCGTCGTGTCTCGGATAAAAAACGGAGTCTTTCGAGAGGTTGAAGTTCGACTTACCAGATCGGTCCGCAAACGGGAGATTCTTCGGTCAGGCTGTCCTCGGCGGATTCAAGCAACCGGTTCGCACTCTTCCATATCGACGAGAAACAAACGTCTGCCTCGAAGCACGAGAGTCCATCCACTGAATCCGGCGGCACAACAAACACCGGGGGGATCGAGAGCGGCGGATAAGAGAGAGCGAGCGAGCGAGCGAGCGAGAGACGAACGATAAAGGGAGGAATAGAGAGAAAGAGCACAGCGAGGAAGCAAAGAGGAGAGGAAGGGAGATCGAGGGCGCAGCGTGCGTCGACGGCGGACCACGTTCAAATGAAGGAACTGGCCGCGCATCCCCTATATTTAGGGGTAGAATCTCGCGGAAGGGAAGCTCGGCGTGGCAGGTGGAGGCGCAACGAGAGGGTGGCACCGGCCAATGGCAGCCGTTCCAGGGTTAGACGGGGGTGGAGCGTACGAACGGGGTGAACATATTCGGTCGTCGGGACGCGTCTGCTAGTCCCATCCAGACCACGCCTACATATTTCAGGTTCGACACATGTGCCCGGGACCGTCGTAGTCGTCGTCGTCGTCGTAGTAGCCGTCGCAGCCGTCGTGGTCGTCGTGATCGTCGTGATCGTCGTCGGCGTCGTAGTCGTGGACCGACGAGGACCGTGGCCGTGCTCGTAGCCGCCGACTCTTTCCTCCCCCGTTCTCGCCGCGTTGCGCATCGCGTTCCGCAGGATCCCGTTTTACCCCGTTATCACTTCGGGTGCATAGGGGGCCGTGGGTGCGCGACGAGGACGCGGCATGCCACGCCGTTGCCGCGCCACGTCCAGGCTGTAATTCAGCCTGACAAACGATCTTGAATATTTTTAACGCCCGCGCCAGCCTCGACTCCTTTTTTATGGCCCACCTCCTGGATATTGGACGTTCGGCAGACTCGTCGAATCCGCTGATGGACCTCCACCGTTCCCGATTATCCCGCGAACGATCATCGCTCGCCCCGTCTCCTCGAACATTCGTTCCAACGAGCTCTAAAAGGGAGACGGTTCTCTCCCACTCTCTCGCCCCCTTTCCTCCCTCTATTGCTCCGTCGTCTCTCCGTTCGACGATCGCTATAATACTACCCCTGAAACGGCGCGACGAGCCGGCGATCTACTCTAGCGAAGAGTGCGGTCCGAGAACGATTCCTTTCTCGTTCTTCGGTCTAAGCGATGTATTATTTATTAACGTCGTCGCAGGTGTTCTCTTCGCTCAGTCCACTGGCGATTGATAATCGTCGAGATCGGTGGCCCACCACCTTGCGGACACATCGTCGCCGCGCCGGTGAGAAACGAGGCGCGTTAAATCGACCGCGTCGGACAGAAGGTGCCGGCACATCCGCCAGGGATCATCGTTCCTCGGATTATCTTCCCGACGAATTCCCAGCGATTTCTCCGCGATCTCTTCGAGGGACATACGGCACGGCCGAAGCGTTCTTGCCGCGAAGGAACGCGCGAAAACGACGAGCGGGGTCTAAGCGGAATCGCAGGGCCCCGCCGCGCCGTAATGCCGGCGCTCCGGACGGTAAAAATAAGGCAGGGTGAATCAGATTTGAGTTGGATGGCGGGGCAATAATTTCCGATATCGCGGCAGAAGCGAGAGGAAAAAGGCTGGCCGGGCCGCGGGAGCCAATAGGCGATCAATCATAAGCTGGCGATCTATTTCGCCGGGCATGTGAGAGCCGTCGAGTTCTTGCTCCGACTCCGACTCCCGGCAGCCTCCGCGGGGAACGTCTCGAGGTTAAAGGACATTAACTTCTTGATTGAGTCGGCAAAAAGTTGTAATGACTTTTCGATTGGGCTCCGGCAGCGGAACACGACCGGGGAGATCCGGCGGCCAACTTTTTACACGCTCTCCAGATTAAAAAATCTTTTTCTTCGTTCTATACACTGCTTCCGACGCTGTACACGTCTCTGTATGAGCCGTTTATTTTGAAAGCGGTATAAGTCACTTTGTTTTTAAGTCGAGATATTTAAGGGTTTGCGTTTTAACGCGTTTCAAAATATGGATGCTAACTTTCGAGAAGATTTACTTGTATTCGTTGTCTCGGGATACTGATATTTTTCCCAAGTATAAATAATTTCGTATAAACATTAAAAAATCAAACATTAAAAGATTTATTATTTTCCAACCAGCGCGTCGGATTAAACCGAGTAGCCGTTACCCCCTCGAAGACGTCACCCTTTCCGTTCGGACGGCGGAGATGCGACAAATCGTGAAGAATTTACAGTCGGAACGCGGACCGTGCAGGACGATGATATCGTACGAACGCAGCCGAATCTAATCCTAATTCGTGCTCGTAAAGTCGCGGGACTGCTCCGGACAGCATTGGGTGACACGCGTCGCGCGCCAGGGCGCCGTTGAACGCTTCCGCGTCGCTCTGTGTCGTTTCTGTATCGTGCGCCGACCATCCCCGGCTTATCAACCATATTTATTGCCGATCGTGGCATCCTGTCCCAGCGAGCTCGCTCTGCCGACACACACCGAGCCCTAATTCTACTTTATGCCGGAGTATCTACTCCGCGCGTCCAGTTATCCTTCGCGCAGACACAGACTCTCTACTCTCCACCTAACCACACGACAGTCCACCTAAATAACCAGCAGAACGAACTCTCGAGAAGTCGACAACAACTCTTAACCCTTTGCACTCCGCTGTCCCCTCTCGTGGGACATCGTAATTCTAGTATATCACACGGATGTCCCCTCTCGTGGGACATTCAAGTTTATTAGCGATTACGGGGAATTGAGTTATTTCGGCGCAACTTTTTCAGGCATGCATGTTTCCCTGAAGTTTTCTCTTGGAACGGCACAAGAAATCGAATCGAAATATAGCAAAATTACTAAGATATATGCAAGAAATGTCAGCGGGTTTTGACGAGAACGCGAGAGGCGTGCTCACGACGGTTCGAGCACTTCGAAGGCGCCACTTGAAAAGAGCGATAAGGCAAGTTTGTAGAAAAAAGATCGGTATGCGAACATAGCACGCACCGTATAGTAAGATTCATAATCATAAAATCTGGAGGAAAAGATTTTCAAAGCTGAACTCGGTCTGGTTCGAAGCGTCGAGCGGTGTAGATAGATCTAACGAGTGAGAAAATCGGAAAAGTGATTCTTCTCTTGGTAAATAAATTGTTTGGTAAAAGTGTTTTTGGTAAATATCATCTTGCGAGTTAGTAATAACGATTAGAAATTTTCGACCTATGTATTTATTCGTATTTTTTATTAGAACAATGGCGAAACGTTCGAACACGAATGAGTCTCGTGACACAAGTAGTAGCGAAGATGAGCTCCAGATAGACGTT